GGCTGATAGTGGCCACCTGCTGCTTTGTGGACTGGTGTGCTCATGTGTACGTGTACTTTTTCTCCACTCTAAATGAGGAGACTTAGAAGGCACAGAGTCTCTAATGAGTAGTCTGACGGGGCGCATCCATGTGTCACTGATTCCCTCACCAAACACCTGCTGCTCTGCTTAAAAAAAATCCACCCAATGCTGCAGTGTAACACACACATGAAAGGGTGGAAGAGATGGAGTGAAAAGGAGGGGAATAAGCTGTTTATTAAATTCAAGAGGACAGGTCTGGAGGGCATTCTACCCCGGACGTCTTCAACACATTGATCCGAATCAAACCAAAAACTATCAACAAAAACAGTGCAGGGGAACTGTGTGTTGCAATTAAATGGAAAAGATGGCTGTAAGATATGCTGAAATAACTTGTCAAATAGTCTTAATAATGTTGGGTCTTAAAAAGGATGTCAAGGATGTGGAAGACGATCTTCTTTAACAAGCAGCTGTAAAAACTTGAAACAAAAACTATTTCAAGTAGTTTCTCACTGTTAGAGTCTCAGTTCCAACCAGATTTAAAAACCACGCTGAGGATGAATAAATATTAAAAACCTGGTTGCAAATGTGTCTATCTTTATTTCAACTTCAGTAAATTAATTCAAGTCTCTCGAGGCAGGTACAAAGTGAGCAGAATAGTGCTTGGATAACATTTTTTTGCAAACTGCACACACAAAGACAAGGTGTAGTTTTCAAAAACACAACCACTATGCTTGCTGGTCGCAAACACAAAAGGGCTTTGCATACTTATTACGTCTTTCACATCTCGACACAAGGCCTGGGTCAAGGTTTTTCTCACCGGCTAAWGTGTTGAGTGTTGGTCAAAAGTTTGCGGCTGTATTTGCTTATACAGAAAGAAGAGTGTTTACACAAAAATTGTGACATTTTGCTTCAACTACTCTACTTTCAGAAGCCGGCTTGCGTGTCAAAATTAATGTGGACAGTTTTAAGGAGCGGTTGTCTGGGGCAGAGACATAAAAGAACGTCCATCTTTATAACTTTCCCAGACACTTCAAATGGCCAAAAGCTTGTGGATACCACAGATGTTGTGCAAAGAGGAATCCGTCTCCCAAAAAGTGTGGTGCTCTATCTATGACAGATTTGTGGCCAAACAGCAGGTTTTTGAATGGAAATTGTAGCAGGAAGAAACTGTTGCTGTGAAGTTTACAGCAACAAGAGGGGTTTCCCAGAAGCTCTGCTCCATATGTTTCATTGGTTATGAAAGGTATTTACAAATATGAACCTCCTACCACCACATGACTGGGATTCGACTATTCGCCTTTGGGCCCTTTAGGAGTCAACGAGACTGCCGGATATTTGGTGGGATAAAATGGTGCTTCAATTTTCAATTTTGGAATTTAGGTGACGCAAACCTACCACTTCTGTACAAAGCTTTGGTGCACCCACACTTAGAGTATGGCAACATCATCCGGGATCCCCTTTATATCCTCGACCAAAGCACTGTTTAACGAGTTCAGAGGTGAGCCACTCGTCTGGTCCTAGCACTGAAGGATCTTGCATACAGTGAGAGGCTGGAATGCCTTCAGWTGCCATCCCTGAACTATAGAAGATGCTGTGGAGATACAGCATGATACAAGTCTACAAGATTATTAACAATATCTACAAAATAGGCCAGACAAAACTCCCACACACATCCAGTAACATTATATCAGGAGCTCATCACATCAAACTCCACATACAACTCTTCTTTAGTGTCAAAACCATAAACAACTGGAATAGTCTTCCTGAGGGCTTAATTACTGCCAGAACTCGAGTTTAAAGGAGCTCTAGAAAAAAACATTGGAGAAATGAGTACTATATTTTTTACACAGGCTGCTCACACTGCTTTACAGGCTTCAGCCTTCTCTCAAAATGATCCAAACTGAACTGACAGCAACCGAAAATTTACTTCTTTTTTTTGCAATTCTGAGTCTTCAACTGGTCTCCAACAATTCCAGCCAAGTCCAATACAACCTTTCAGAAACAAGCCAGTACAAGAAACAAACAAACAAACAAACAAACAAACAAACAAACAAACAAACAAACAAACAAACAAACAAACAAACAAACAAACATCTGAACTATCCAAGCAACAACTGTTTACCCTAATTGTGTGTTAAAACTTAATAATGCCTTTGTGTTCCTCAGCAAACGAGACCTACTCTGGTATGGATCCCCCGTGACCTTCAGTTCAACCCTTCTTAAATTAACCACTCCTGCTTGTTTTAGCATGAATTACAACAGTGACGGAAACATTATTTTGCACTCCAACTCGACAGAATAGGCTAAATATTTATTTATTTTGTCCAATTAGCTCTGGTGCTATCGATCAGGCCAATTAATCCCATCTACAGCTCTGTATGTGGAAAAAAATGAGATGAAGCAAACTATGCCCCCCCACACACACATTCGTTGGTTTTTATATCCTCATGGGGACCTTGCATTGACTTYCAATTATTTTCCAGTCATTTCTATAGACTAACCCCGTCCCTTTACCGTAAACTTGACTTCACATACCTGTTGCATAATCTRGCCTAAACCGAACCTCCCACCCAAAATCAGCAAAATGGTCCCCATGATGTTGCAAATACGTGTTCATACATACAAATACACTTCTGATTGTAATCCTCATTCATGTTGGCTGGCTGATAATTTGGTTTGAAGAGGAATGGACAAAAAAATAAAAGTCCAATATATTTGGACTTTGTTCAAATTTATTGAACAAAGTTCAATATATTTTCCTTTGTTCGTGGATCCAGTTGAAAATGGAAGAATAATCAGAAAAGAGCCATGAATCAAAGCTGTAATGAAAAATCTATTGATTTTGATTCCCCCCACCCCTTCTCTTCAGCATACCATCCCATTTTCCCCTCCTCTCCCTGYCTCCCCAACACTGGGGCGAGAGGAAGAAAGTGTGAGTTTATCATTTGGGATGCGTTCTCTTTGAGGCACCATTGATTTGGAATAGTGGATTCTAGGCCACCGCCCATCTACCTCGGGGAATAAACAGGTCATATTGGAGAAYGCAGATGCCACAATTTTTCATTAAGGCCTATGGTCAATGTTGCTGTGTCAAATGCCATTTGCGAAGCCTTGTGGGAGTTGACAGCATAAAAATTGCGATAAAGGCCCCAGCAATAAAACAAAAACTCCATGAGAGAAGAAAGAACATATGATGGTGATGAAGTCAGTTCTCAGGAGACAATAAGCCTGAAGGCAGCTGCACTGTGTACTGATGTAAATGTATACACACTTCTTATTTCAACCACCAGACAGGCTCCCAAACAATAACTCAATAACAAAATTGGTTCTTCCAAACTTTATACATTATTACATCAGTGAAGTCTGATTCTTTGAAGCAGTTTGGGAGACAGACAAAGCTATTGATTCTTTTTAAAACAGAAGGCTCTGTCTTTTTTTTAAACAACTAATATTTCTGAGACACTTACAAAGCGATGGAATGAAGAAAGGAGTTTTTATGAGACATTTACTGAGTTTTCAGAAGGCTGTTGATGTCTAAAGGTGAAAAGATAAATGTGCGCAGTGCTCACACATCCTGATGAGAACTTTGAGCACAAGCATTATGGGCATTTTAGTGCCATTCCATCTTGGTCAGGAAAACGCACCAGTACTCAAAGAAAGACTATTTTTACTTTCTAAAATATAGTTGTCTCTCTTGGCCTGACAGCTTTTTCATGGTGGCAAGACAACAACAAAAATAAAACTTGAGAGAATCCAAAGGCTGTAGTAAAACTTTTTTCTTATTTTAGTTATCTGAAAGACTGAAATCTTGCTTTTATATGATATGAAATGAAAAAAACTTGGCTATGGTTGTCAAAACTTGGTGTGCTTTGTGTTTYTGTACCATTTTTAAAGTTTCATTCACATATTTTAAATGGGGTTTTGCAAAAAAGTTGTGAACAAATTTTWTCTTGCAGTTTTAAAGAAAACGTAAAAGGAACAAGTAGTTTGGAAAATYGTGAAAACCATCTCCTCTGTGCAGAAGAGAAGAAGCTGTTATCACCTCACAGTTCAAAACTCACTGATGGTATGGGGKTGTATTACTGTTAATGAGCAGTTTACACATCTGGAAAAGTGACCATCAATGCAGAAAAGTACATACAGGTTTTAGAACAATGTATGCTCACATTTAGCAAAGAAGACCCAAAACTGCTGAACAGCAAAAATCCTACTGACATTTTATTCCATAAAACTCCAGCAGTTGGTCTCCTCAGGTCCAAAATGTTTACAGACTGTTGTTAAAAAAAGACAGGATCCCTCAAAGAGGTGAATATGACCCTGTTCCAACATTTTTGAGATGTTTTGCTACTATAAAATATAGAAAAATGCCTTGTTTTATCTGAAAGAATGACACAATTTCTTGGTTTTCACAACATTCCATTCTGAATAACATACAGGTTTAGGAG